GGGGTATTATAGGGAAGATTATATAGAAGAAAGAAAAGGCTCTATACCATTATAAATAGAAGTAGAGCCGTAAGGTAAAAAGTAAAAGGCTGGGGCGGAGGTAATTAAAAATAGAATAAAGAAATAGGGAAGTAGAATAATAAATAGGAAAATAAAATAGGGTAATAGGGAAAAGGCGGAAAAAAGGGCGATAGATATTAGGACGGAGGGATAGTAAAGGGAAGTAGCGCTCTAGATTTAGGTCCTATTCCTATTATTTTCATTATTTTAATATTAGAATAATATAGCGGTAGGAGAGACGAGATCAGTTCGCTGTAGCGGTGGGTAAGAACCGTTATAGTTGTAAGTAAAGTAGGAGCGGTGTGAAAATCTACGACCGAAATATAGCTGGGGGTTTTCATCCGGCGGCGCTTAACGCCGTACGGTTCTCCCCTCCAGGGAATTGGAGAAGGACCCTATGCCAAAAAGCCACTATAGTTATATAGTATAGGGAATAAGATTATTATTATTATATAAATTTAAGTAAATACGAATTTTATATAAAAAAATAATTATTCGTAAAATGTATTATTTCCCCGGAGGATATTTTAATAAACCCGGAGAAGGTTATAACAATTACGAATTAGAAAACACTAGCGAATATCTATAATATTTAAATCTTCCTAAAGTTTACCGAGTTTTATTAATATTCTATGATATTATATTCGAAAGTAATTACACCCTTAACCGAATTATTAAAAAGGAATAAATAAAGACTGTTCGAACTTATAATAAAAGTAAAAAAAGTATTTACAAAATTAAAAAAATTATCCTAAAAAACTCCTATACTATAATATTTCGACCTAATATTATAAATCCGAATAGAAATAGACGTATTAAATTTTACAATTAGGGCGGTTCTTATACAATTATATAACGATAAGTAATACCTAGTAATATTCTTTTTAAAGAAAAAATCGCTAGAAGAAATAAAGTATAGAATTAGGGATAGGGAATTATTAACAATTACTAAGGTTTAAAAACGTAGAAATAATATTTATTATATATAAATGAACCGTTCTTAATAGTTATAAGTTATTTAAATTTATAATATTTCTAGGATAAGGAGTGGGCGAGTATAAGGTAAAATTAGTAGATATCAGAATTAGTAACGTATAATTTCGGAATAGAATATTAACTAAGAAAATTTAATTTAGTAAATAAATTATTAGAAAAATCGTACTTCTAAGGAGAGGAACTAAAGAAATGGGGTAAATACCTATTAATTAAAATTATCGAAGGGGGTAAAAAGAAGAGCCGGGTAATAAAGTGAGGTTAGGTATTAAAAGTATTAGTAAAATAGGTAATATTAATCGGAAAGGTAGGTTAAAGGGCGGCAGTAAAGGAAAAAGAATGGTAGTAGGATATGAGCGAAGTAGAAGAGGAGTAGGTATTAGAAAATGGAGGGGAAAAATTATAAGAGGAGTAGAGGGGATTTAGGGGAGAAAATAAATTAAATAAAGAGAGGAGAAAACGGACGGGGGTTAAAAATAATATAAAAAAAGGAGGGTCAGCGGTAAAAAGAGTAAGTTTCGTAGGCGAGGTTACTATTAAAGGGCGCGACGATATAAAGGGAATTATTATAAGAAATGTAGGCGTATATATAGTAATAGTAAAAATATAAAAGAACAAGGGATATTTCCGATTATTAGGGTAATAATTATTAAAAGTATAGAAGGAGGACCTATTCGTTATTAAAGAATTATAGAAGAATAATAAAGGAAGGAGATAGGCGTAGAATTGGAAAATAAGGAAGGATAGGACTCTTTAATATTAATATTAAATTTACATTCCGGAATATATACGGGCCCAACTACTTTATACTTAATATAATACTGCAATAACCGGATACCCAAGGCAGCAGAAAATATTAAAACACATTAGCCAATTTTACTACTAGCCTACTATTATAGCTAATATAAAAATATAGATTTGCGAATATCTAGTATATTAAAAGGCTAAACTTCGTAATTATCAATCTTATAACCTATTTAAATCATTACTTATCCCTACTATTCCTTAGTAGGATATTTTATACAATTTTATTACCCAACTACTAAAAATATTCAACCCTATCTCTAATTGGATATATAATACAATCTTAATTATTATTAACTATTTTACTAAATATACTTTATATATCCCTATATAAAAGACAATCGATATCCAATAATTTATTTTTCACTTTTAATAATACGTATTCTAATAATTCGGTCTCCTAGATTCTATTATTTCCAATAGAGGTAATCTTTTTACTAGCTAATTTTAGAAGATTTATTATAAGTTTTTAGATATCCGCCAACGCTTTAATACTATTTAATACCCCTAAATGAGCGGATAAATAGAAAAGTAGAATTAGAATTTAGAGTTATACCTTCGAATTTTCTACGGAATAGAATAGGTCGACTAAATTGAAAAATTTACACTAACCTAATAAATATATAATAATTATTTCTATACCGTTATTGGAAAATCCCTATTAGAACTATTCTTTAAATATTACTTTTAAAGATTTATAAACCTAAAACGAAAACGAAGAACGGTCCTCCCTATAGTAATTACCAATTAAATTAAGGAATTGCTTCGGGGCTAGACTAAAGTAATTACAACCTTAGAAATTATTAACCGAAGATATACGAAATAGTATAATAAAGTTCGGAAGCCCAAGGAATTTAATATAAAGAATTAGGTCCTACTTAATACGAAGTATATTAAATAATACCGTTCTAACACTAAATTAGCCAATAAATTCCTAGGGCTATTCTAAATTATTAAAATAATCGGAGATAGAGAAATAATATACTAATTTACCCTTTCCATATACTATCGCATCTACCTAATATTCCCTATTACCCTATTAAAATTATATTACAATGATCCTATTATAATAATACCCTAAAGAAAAGTAATAGATATTAAAGAGGATAACTTATAGTACGAAATTAAATTAATTATAAAGTACCGCGGGTCCGGTCGCTACCATTAATTTTAAATTAAATAAAAGGGGTATCTTAATAATAAGAATTCGTAGGTCCTTTAAAAAGATATAAATTGTCCAGACCTTTTTAAAACCTACGAAACTAAGGAAATATAAAGGCGAAGGGATAGAAGGGGGCCAATTATTAAATTTATAAAAATTAATTAATTAATAAATAGGAAAATACTAAGTCTTTAGAATTTAGAGATATAAACGTAAAACATAGACGTAAAATATAAAAATAGAGACGCAAAAGTAGAAATATAAAAGTAGAAATGTAAAAATGGAAATGTAAAAATAGAGATATAAAAATAGAGATATAGAAATAGAGATGCAAAAATGGAAATGTAAAAGTAGAGACGTAAAAGTAGAGACGTAGAAATAGAAACGTAAGACGTAAAACGTAGAAAATAAATATAAGGTATAAATATAAAGTATAGATGTAAAGTACTGATAAAATACAGTTTCCTTGGCCGGAGCCCGGATATAGCCAAGGAAGACAGAGAAACGCCCATGGAGGTGAACATTTAGGAAGTGAAAAGCTGGACCTACATATAGTAGTTGGATGTACCCAATTAAGTCCATTTGCTAAGACGGGAAGTACGGGAAGTACAGGAAGGTTCTTAGCAATTCGAACTCATATTTAAGGGCACAACACCAGCTAAAACATTACTAGATTTGACCCTTTCCGCGAGACTTTCTATTATTTTACCTATAAACTAGTAAACAGTCTTAGAACGCTCCAATTAACCTATATAGTCTACTTCCAACTACCTTACTATCACCAGCCCCCCTGGGGTGCTATAGGGACGCTTATAGTATAACGGTATAGAGGACGCTCTTACCGCTACTGGTGTAAGTATATAGAGAGCTCTCGCGTTCAACTCCTTACAAGTAATTAATTTTTCGTTTAAATACTCAGATATATACTACTAACGTCTCTCAAATCCTTCTCATCTTCCAATCTTAGTATTAACTGTGTATGGGCCGTTCTAGGGAACAGGAGATGTAAGACCGCCGTAAAACGTACTATCTCTCAGTGCCATTAACGGTTACTCTGAAAAAAGGTATACCATAAGGTATTCGACTAGGGTGCGCGGAATAAGTCGAACTAAACTCCTTTCTCTTTTTTTTTTTTTTTTTTTAAAAGCCGGTAGTGAGATTCAGCTACCTAAATGCCGAATTAGAATAATCTGAATTATAATTAATAGTAAAGGTAACATACTACTTTGACCGGATAGAGAGAGAAAGACTAGCAGTCTTTTCTTCGTAAAAAAGTTCATCTTTAACTAGCAATACTATCTTAGTACCGACCCAACCAGTAGAAGTCCGTTGGCGCTTAATAGCAAGCAAATCACAACGCTCTTCTTCTTCTCTTAACATATCATCAAAGCGCTACTCGAATTCGAAATTATCGTCTTCAAAGATAATTAACATAATTAATAATTAATAACTAATAATTAATAAAAGAAAGAAAAAGAAAGGGAATTTAAGAGCTACAAAGACTTTAATAATATACAACGGCTATCAATATAGAAGGTACGCTTAAAGGTATTTATTATTATATCTATCTATTATAATAATAACTATTCTTACTAATCTATCCTCCTCTCAACCGCGGTAATCCATTACTAGCACCAATATTCTTACAAAATCTTCCACAGGGCCTTCCTAAACTAACTCTACCCGGAGCAATACTACTAACTCTTAAACCAACTCTTAATCCAATTCTACCCGGTATACTACCAACTCTACTACCGGGCGGTCTACCGCGAAGTCTTAATCCAAATCTACCACGGAATCTACCGCGCACTCCTCTTCCCCGGGGCGGCCGGCTATCATCGGCATTATCATCATTATTGTCATTATCATTATTATTAATATCCCCCGGCCCGGAAGGGAGCTAGAGCCTTCGATTTATAACTAAAGGACTACCCGGGTTATAAATATAGTATAACGGCAATAGATAGCCGGGACGCAATTATTAAAATATACGTCTAACTATATCTATAGCTGTATATATATAAATCTTAGTATTTGTCACACATAAAGCATTAATCTCAAAGCTCTTATTAAATATAATACCTTTAATCGTATAAGTACGGGAAACAACTATATAGAATAACCCAATTATAAAATCCTTCTTTAAAATATTATAAACAACCTTATCCAATATTTAACCCTATATTCTATATACAATAATAGTATATACAATAATTAAAGGGAATTGAATTCTCCTACGAATATAAACTCCTTTCAAAAATTCCCGGGTAAAGCGAAAGATTAGAACAACGTACTCTAAATCATAAATATTAGGATAATTAAAATCTTTAAAATAATTAGATCTTCAATAGTAATTAAAATGTACTATAATAATAAAGGGGGGGTCGCCGGCTTTAAGGTATATATTATACATCTAATTACTATTCTACATAATATTAATAACTGTACTAATTAAGCTATTAATAAAGTTAATTTTAATCTAAAGATTCTCGGTAAGTATAATTCTACTACCCTTAACGTAAGTAAATTTACTATACAAATTACTAATATCGGTATATTTAATATTTTTAATACTATCAGGTTTATTAGGAGCCTCAGTAATAAAGGTTAGGCTCTTAAATTATTCTAAATACTTAAAGCTGTATTTATTAACTATAGTATTAGTTAGGTAGATTCGCAAAGTATTATCGAATTCGGCTTAGTCGGGTATAAATAATTTGAATTTAGTACAATTAATTAATACCCGCTAATCTTAAATAGTAGGGTTATTATTTCGTAGTCCTTCTAAAGCCTTACGAAAGTCTTCTTACTTAGTACCTTATTAACGGAGAATTTACTTCAATTCAATATTCTAATTAAAATTAAAGTAATAAATTCGACTACTATATTAAACCAAGTCCAATTTACCTTCTAAGCGCTTCCTTTCTTATTCCTCAGTCTCATTAGGAAGCCGGTCTAGATTATTATTCTTACTAAGGGCTTTAAGAGGCGTATTGGGATTATTAACGAATTTAAAGGGTTCCTAATAGAATAGGGCCTTTTATCCAATAGTCGCTAATTAGAAGAAATTCCTAAGAAGAAGGATATTAATACTACCGAACCACTTCCCTTAATTTTCAATAAAAGCCTAGCGAAGGCGGGTATTAATATAATATATAGTTTTTATACCTAATATAGACTTTTCGTTAATACTAAAATACTTATAAAGTTTAAATTTATTTTAAATACTAGTTAAATTAGTACTTTGTAGATTAATTAAACCTTTAATACCGAAAGGAAGCTGTAGAAGAGAATTAAGGGTATAATTATTGATATTATTAGCGGTAATACTAGTAGGGGCAATACGAATAATAGGGGTTAGAAGGTTATATATAAAAGTTATTTCAGTAAATTTGTAAAATAGTAATTAAATAAGGTAAAATTTCCCAATACTACTATAGCCGTTAATTTAAAGAAGCAGCTAATCTAGAGCTTAGCTATTGAATACTATTTAATAATAGTTAATAAATTAGTTAAATACTATTTATTATTTAGTATTGAGAGTATTATAAATACGTTAGATAATAGGCTTCAGATCAGGAAGGTTGAAAGTATTGTAACGAGATTTCTAGTAATCTGCAGCCAAAGGTAGGAATTCCTGGAACTTAATATAGTTATTATACTAGTTATAATTGAAATTAATATTACAGCGGCTAAGAACGTCGCTATTGAAATTGTCGTCGTCGGGATTAATATAGCGGTTAGGGTTGTCTCTAGCAATTTCTTCCCAGCTAGGCTTATTAGGCTCTTCTTCTTAACTAGGTAGTTCAAACTCTTCTTCTAGTTTAGTATTAGGGAGTTTACTATAATAGTTATTAGGGTAATTTAATTCATTAATATATTCTTTATAGTAAGCCACATAAGCATTTTCTAATAACTTATAGTAAATATTATTAATAATATAAATATTAACCGGATATTAATAAGGATAATATAGTATAAGCTTAATCCGGATGAAATTTCGTTAATTATTTTTATATTTGTAAATAGGGAAGTAGTTGATTACCCTCTATTTAGTACGATCCGTTAGAGGTTTGGGATATAAATTAGTATAATCGAATTTAATAATAAAATTAAAGAAGGATATTTAAGTATAAGATTCTTCTCGATTTATATACTTCTAGTAGATTAACCGGGTTTACCGAACTTCGTTGGTAGTATTAATATAAATACTACCTTTACCCTTATTATTATTACTACTAACTATGGCTATTACTACTCTTCCTCCTTCGGGATTATAAACAATAATACTTCGGTTATTTCGAAGGCGGTAATTTACTATAACCACTATATGGTTATTCTTATAAAGAAGAAGGTTAAAAAGTAGGTAGCAAACTTCTTAAACTAACCAATCCCTTTTAGTAATAAGTTTATTTATAAACTTAGTTATAAATTACTTAACTAAATTTCTAGCCGTAATTTGAGGGATAATCTCTATTGCAATTTCGTTGTAAGATTTAATACGTTTCTCAGTCTTAGAAACGTACTTAGCCATATAATTCAAAATAGTATTTATATTAGTATATAGTTAAATATTTATATTAGCCATCTATTTAAGTATAATAAGAGGATTGTACTAATTGAGAATACTATTATTTCTTCGGCCGTCGAAGAGCTAGAACCCAGGATTAATACGGGTAATAAGGAGAGGGTATTTATAAAACTTCCTAGCGAAATCAAAATAGTAAACCTTTTACTCTAGAACAGAGAATTCGAAATCCGGAATTTACCAATCCCCGGGAAGGGTTCGGACTTACTAGCGTATTTAGAGGTAGTAAATACTATTACAAATATATTATTATATACAGTTAATTATAGCTGTAAGTTCTTTAAAAATAAGTTTAACAGCATTTATCCTTCTATTTAAAGTATCGTTACGTTTATTATAGTATTTTGGAAGACGATTAATAGGGATTAGTTAATTATAGGCATTATATTAATTACTAATAGTCGTAATAGCGCTGGGAGGGGGGCCTTTTAAATTTTTACTTTTATTAAATTGAATTTCAATTGGCTATTCAATACCTTCTAATATTAGATTCTATACAGTAATATACAAACCCTACATTTCAATAATTTCTCGTCGAATCTTTATATTTCTTAAATCCGGAGCATTAATATTATTAACCTAATATACGCTATAAATATACCTAGTACCTCGAATTTAGAACTCTAACCGCTACTAGCAGTTATCGAATTTAAATTCAAGTATTAATATATGCTCTTTAAAGAATTTAGAACGATAAATAAAATAATAAGTAGTAATATAAAGGTTATTAAGGATATTAGTCTTGGATATATAGTAACGATTATTATCGTTGGAGGCTAGCTATTATTTATAGTTAGGTATATGTTTTATTAGACTTTCCCAATATAAATTAGTAATATTGAAAATTAGAAATATAGTTGGCATACCCAAAAAGTTAATATAGGTAGCTAATTCATAGGACTATTGAATCTAGTAGGATCTTATACCTCGAATAATATTAGTAAATTATACAACTAAATTGAAAAGACTTTATACTTCTTTAAATTGAACTTCGAAATATTCTTCGAATTATTACTAATTAACGAAAACTTCGGAGTTAAATTTGGTATTCCGAACGTAAAAAGCGTTTTTATTATATACTTAGCTACGTATTAAGGAATTGAATATAATATATCGAAATCTCTTGTATCGGGTAAATCTACTATTATAGTACTATATTATATAGCGAATATATATATTATATTTAACTTTCCTTATACGAGGCTTAGGATATTTAGTTTAACTATAGGGGTAAAAATTGGGAAATGCCTAAAATAATAATACCTAATTACGCTAGAATTTATTAATGGATTAATTATAAAGCGGTTCTTATTAAATATAATAACGTTTAGGCGGGGGAGCCGGAGCCGGGTTGGGATTTGGAAACAAGTCGGTAGCCGGAGGAGGAACCGGACCTAAAGGTTCTTATTACTAGCCTATAGGTTCTTCCTACTAGTTTATAGATTGTCCTTTAGGCCTTATGAGTTATAGTACTTAACTTAGAGGTAGTGGTTGTTAATTATCTAGTATATTTATAAATTCAATTAATAGAAAGTTAGGGTCTAATATTTAATCCCTATAAAGCTATACCCTAAATTAATTAATATCCTAGAGAGTACTACTTAGTATATTAGGGGTTGTACTAACCTCTATTTTATCGGCTTCTTTTGAAATTTCTTTGAATTTCTCTTCTTATAATATATTAAAATCCTTAATAATAATATTATTTATTAGGATATTTGCTATATTATTTATAATATTTCTATTTTCTCAAAAAGTATTAAACCGTTTTTATACGATATTAATATTCGAATACCTAGGGTAGTGGTCTTTTAAGAATCGAAGCTAAATATTAATTGTATACCGGTTGATTTTGAATTCTTTATATATATAATTGAAATTAGGGTAGTTTTAAATATTTCATAGCCGGAGTAAAATAATATCTGTTGGAGGAGGCACGTGACTCTGGGCACCATTCACCCTCGTACGGCCTCCCCGCCTTCACTAGTCTTTAGCCCTCCAGACCTCTCCACAAATTCTTTCTTTTTAGAGCAACTCAATACACATCATCAATTACTTCATTTCGTTGCCTTGTGCGTCGCACAGGTTATGAGCCCTCTAAAGCTATCGTAATCGACCGATCAATCGATCAAACAACAAGAGATCTACTGGTTATCCCGGGAATCAACCTCTTTATTGTACCCCTCCACTTGCAACCGACCTCGAGTTGCGTACAATCAACCGACCTTCAAATTGTTAACTAACCAACCTTCGAATTGTCAATAATTAATAATAGTACCCACTATGAATAGCGGTTCGCTTATAATCCTTCGTAGCGAGAATAATATCAACAATTGGAAGTGCGCTTTACATATCGAACTCGAATTTACCGAGGTCGACGACTACGTCTACAAGACCGTAGCTAAGCCCGATAAAGACACTAAACCTAATAATTATAAGAAGTAAAAGCTTAATTATATCTACACACTTAAAATTATTAATACTACCCTCAAAGACAATAAAATCTTAACTATCCTCCGCATTAACAGCTAGGACTAGTCCAATAAGGACTTTAAATATTTCTTTAACCTTATTAAAACTAT